ACCTAGTCACCTAGACGACGCCTTGACAACTATGATGATAAATCTATGATACCCTACTATACTGTAATAACCAATCAGCTAACAACATTGCTCACAATCAATTCAGCATGATTGTACTAAACATATTAAGGTTGATAGGCATATTTCATCATGGAGAAACCAAGAGAATGATCGCTAGAGGATGGAAAAGTGTCTTTGCCATTTGTAGCTTATGAAGAACAACTTGCTAACATGTTCCCCAAAGGAGTTGTGAAGCAATGACTAGATCATTATATGCATGTTAGGCATGGTTGACATTTATCCCAGTTTGAGGGGGGAGTGTTGATGAGTTGGGCCATTTAGAACTCTAAAATTTTAAGTTTGCTTTTATTTATGGTTGTCCTATTTTAGTGGGCCTTGAGCTTTTTTTATTATTATTCCTTGTAGCTGCCACCCCCTACTAATTAAGTGAAATTATGTAATTTTCATTCTTTTATTAATTAGTACAGAAGTCAATAGGACAGCACACTACTTCCCACAATTTGATCTTCTCCCAAACTCTTTGTTTCTCTTCTCCCTCTTTTCTTTGCTCTCTCTGACATGCTACAGCTCTAATAAACTGGTCTTTTATTATTTTTACTTTTCTCTTTCTGTTGCTGTGATCGACAACTGAAGGAAAGGAACTTGCAGATTTTTTTTTAAGATCATTCTACAAGGAAATCAGTTGCTTTAAGTATGGCCATTGATTGTGGACTTGGATTTAGTTAGAATTTAAAGACTTGAATACAGAAGATTCTGGCAATAGTTTGTGGTAAACATTGGACTTAGTTAATAAGGGTATTTTAACTTGGACGTACATTTCTTTGTTGTATGGTAAAATCTCTTGAATGTAACCTTTTTCTTTTCTTTTAATAAAATTTCATTTGCCCGCTCTCAAGAAAAAGGAACCCCTTACAAATTCCCTCCTAGCCCCCACCCTTACATGAAAGCAAGTGAAGTAGAAGCAACCAACCAGAACGAATCCTCCCTCCATAGCCACACATAATACAACAGATGCCTACCTCAATGTGCAATAGAAATAAAATGTACAAGAACCTACCTAATGCTGAATATGCACCATTTAAAATCTTTTTTACAGACTATTTTCTCATTGCAGCCCTACTGCCCCTCTTTTAACATCTACCATCTTCCCACCTCCTTCCCCCAAGGTATGGTTTAAAATGTCAATAAATTTCCTAATAGTTCCATTTCCATGGATAGCGACATGAAATTTTACTGGACGACATTTTCCCCAGAGAACACTACCAGCACCATGCGGTGTGCAAGAGATAGTATTATAACATAAGTTGGTGACAATATAGTAGATATGTAGAGTAAAAATGTTATTGCCCGCCTAATGTACATGATTACCTCTTTGAGCCAAGTTTTTGTTTGTGTAATAGATTATTTGGTTGATCTATTAGAACCTTTTGCATTTTCTATGAGTTTTAATTTTGCTTTAACTCATTTATGTAGTTTTACCTTTTGAATCTTAATGCTTACAAGACAACTTCACAATGTATCATTTTGTCTATAATCTTAGTTTCTTAGCTCTGTTTAATGATTTTGAACAAGAAAACAATTTAAAAAAGTATCTATGCTTCTTTTATCATTTAATAAAACACCATTCTATATTTTTGCATATTTTATAACATTGCCACCATGTCTATAATTTTTACAATATTTCTATATGATATTTCTGACATTTCCAACATGTTTCCTATTTTTGGACAATTGGCATTTCCTCCACAGAGTTTAAACCTTGTAATCCCCCAAAACCCTTGAATCCTAACCACCCAATTCATCAGATTGTCCATCTCCACGGGCCTTGGAAAAAACAATTTAGGTATGACTGCCTGAGCATTTAAACCACAAAACTCCAAAAAGGAAAAATGGTGTTAGTACCTAGATTAATATTGCATTTCTTTTTTAATGATATTTTTGTTATTCATCAAAAACAAAAAGTAAAAACAGAGCATGCATAACATCATCCCAAGGGCAACCAAAAAACAAATGGTAAACACCCTTTTTATTTGAAGAATCAAGAAAGAGTTTCATTAAAAGAAAAAAAAAATTACATCCTAACACCCTTTGTTGTCTAGATGACACACCAAATACATTCTCAAAGCTTTAAAATTCCAAAGGATTCTGCATTACAAGGCAATAAATCAAGGAAATTCCAGAAATTTTCAATCAAATCAGCTTTGGGGACTTGATCAGATTGCCCATTCCTCCTATCAAATATTCAATGCTCCACCCATTATCCTACCTCCTTCTTCCTTCTCTCAAACCCTTTGCAAACCAGCTAAGAAACCCCAACTTCCTCCCCATCTACCCGTCTTCCCACCAACCCCAAGATCACTCAATCTCGTCCAATCCCTCCTCTTCTTCCCCTTCCTCGTCCCACCCCTTGATTTTTTCTATGTATTCTTCCCTTTTCTTTTTCTCTTCTATTTTCTTTTTTTCAAACATCTCAAGTGCTATTTTTGCAAAGCCTTCCCCTCCCCAAAAAACCAAACCGAGAGACTTTCCTATATCGACTTCCTTCTCCACCAATTTATTGATATTCACCTTCCCATTTTGTAGTAATTCCTTGACTTCTTGGTCCTTTTAACTCTGCTCTGCTCTCTCTCTCTCTATTCCTGTCCCCAATCTTTGAAACTTCTTCTCCTTGTTTTTCTTCTTCTGTTCTCCCAATCGCAACCTCTCTTTCCACTAATCTCTAGAGAACTACATCACCTGACTCTCCATCAATAATATCAGTACTTTGCAGCAGCCTGTTCACACGAGATTCAGGCTTGACCCCACTTATCTCACTTTCCCGTTGTTCCTTCATCTGAAGGGGGACCGAAGACTGGACTTGCTTCCCTATGATCTGTACCAGATGTCCCATTGCCTCTCATTCTTTTCCTCTTGTACGCCCATTTGTAATTTTTTTGTAGGTCCTGCCCCTGCTGAGCCGAGTTTTAGTCTTGAAAAAATCTGTAACATGTACGGTGTTACGGCTTCTCAAATTACGTGGCTTCTTATTGGTCGTCTCATTAATCTGTTCCTCCTCCTCTTGTAAATTGCTCCCTCTACCCAAATCAATGCCCACCCTTCCAACCTTAACCTCCTTGTAGGGCAGTTTATCCTCTACAAGGTTTTTGCCCTATCCTTTAGGGAATTCTTCACTATCAGACACTTCCTTTCCTGTATCCTCACCTTCATTCTCCAACTCTACATCAGTGCTTACATATCTTTCCGAACTATCTCCTCCCCCCCCCTTTTCCACCTCTTTGATTCTGCATAGACAGGAAATTCTGGTGTCGTCACATCTGATTTTTCAAATTCACGTCTAGCCTCTAGGGGCAATTCAACTGTATCTTTGGACTTGGAGAAACCATGAATCCCGTCAAGCTCCTTACTAACTTGAGGAAAATGCCCAACATCACCAGTCGCTAGAGAAAATTGGTACTTGTCGGAAGTCTTTCTTGTTCCACCACCAATCCTCTTCCTACCAATTTCGTCATACTTAGCTATCACCCAAATTCACTCTTCTTTTTTTTCTCTGGTCACATTCACTCTAGAACGTCTGTTGACAGTATCCTATCCAAGCCATTGCTGCCACATGACCCCACCTTCAACCTCTCAACCTTCCCCCCACAACAACGCTTCATGTTCCATCATGATCCAAACCCTCATCCACACACCCTTCGATAAAACCTCAACTGATCGAGGGACGTCTTTTGGCTTCACTCCGATGATCTCCACCATTGCGAAGCTGAGATTCATCACATTGCAAGATTTGAAGACTCCTCCTATCGCTACCGTTATCTTTTTCGTAACTGTCTTCTTCCAGAGGTTGAAAGGAAGTCCAAATAACCTAATAGCAAAGATTCCATTGTGAAGCTCCTTGCTATTGCAGGAGATTGTCCAGCTCTACACCAAAATCACACCCAACAAGGTTTCAAAGCTATCGAACTCTACTGTTCTTTCTCCAGGAACCAGTAATGCTTTTCTTTTATCAAAAGGGAAGACCGACACACCTGCAACCACTTGAAGTTTCTTTTTCAGAACGTTCAAAATAATCCCCCAGTCCAAAACATCTCTACCTGCTTCCAACACTAGTCTCCTCTCCCATCCTTCTCTGTTTCCATCAGCTTTTGTACCTTGTTGACGCTGCCAACAATCACTTCATTTTCTAGCACTTCTTCTTGATTGTTCTTGGGATCTTCTCCTTCAATCAATTTATCATAACCAACGAGGCACTACACCCCTATAGCTCTACCTGACCACTTGACTATTAAAAAAAGATGAAAAGAATAAACACACAGAGATGCCTTTCCATCTTGGCAGTTCCCCTTCCCCCAAAGGAACCATTTGGCATAGCAATGTTCTAAACAGATTTGGTATGATTGACCATTTAATATATTCTGATCCATAGAGAAAGGTGGTTCAATACAAATGCCTGCACTTAATCAGAAAGGCTTCTACCTTACCATCTAAATTGAATCAAGGTTCAAAGTATCAATATGATACGCCCCATATTGGGCATATCATATCATATCTTTTGGCCCCCGATACACCTGTTTACAGGTGTTTCCGGGATCCTTTTTTTAAATAATATATATAAAAGGAGTATCGTTCAAAGTACCAATATACCTCTGCCTATACACAAAGGTGTATTGATACTTTGAACTTGAATTGAGTATCTCATCAATGGATGCCAAAATTGGTCAACCTTGGGAAATAATCTAGCCAAGAAAGGAATCTCTACTCTCTAGAGAGTAGAGTCACACTGTATAGTGGGCTTTATATGATCCATGTAATCTAACCTGCGGACCTGTTCTTGGTGTGACATTACTTTTTTATTCTTCTTTATTTTTACAATAAATTTATCACATCTCTGATACTTCGCAACATATATTATTCAAGTTGCAAACAAGACCCCCCACATCCACATAAAGAAAGAAAAATCTGATGGTAGAAAATAGCCATACATTTTATACCTTAAAAATTTCTCTCTCTGGCCAGATATAAGTTGTGACTTGTAACCACAATCGAACATCTTGTACCTCTTGGAAATGGAACCAATACCAAATCATAGACCATCACAAGGTTTCATCGGAAGATGTCTAAAATAGTTCAGTCTAATTGACTTATGGAAGCACCAGTTACCATCAATAACAGGACTCCTGCAATGCAAACTTAAACATGTCAGAGGTCAAATGCAACTAAGATGCCTCTCAAGCACTTATGGTGCACAATGAACCAGAATACCAAAAGGCATGCCTCAAGAATATGTAAATGCACTGCCCAGGCCCACTATAAGTGATTTAAGATATTGTAGGTTTCATGTTTAAACAGCTCAGCCTGTGCACGAATTGAAACTACAAGTCTACAACCTTCATATTAATAAAAATCTCTAACTACTTGATCTTATCAACTTTTTGAATAATTATTTCTTTTAAATTTAGATTTGCATATTCTTACATGCTAAGATTTTTTTTCAAAAGTAGTACCACACTTTGTTCAGGTACACACCTCACCTTGTCCTCATACCTCAAGCTCTAAGAGCTCCTTGCGCTTCAGTTGCACTTTTTACTTCTAAAACATTACACTGACCCTATCTAACTTCAGCTTCAATCCACCGTTCCAAATCATAGAAGCTCAATATTTATACGTACTAAGACAAATGGAAACACAACAATCTCAGCAAGGACCGTTAAGGAATCTTACCTGATTAACTGATGAATTTTAGTCGATCTCAAACACAACGAAGATATTCCATGGTTCAACTGCACCTACACGTTGAGATAATTTCTCCAGCTATGCATGACGACAACCAAATTTCTTAAAAACCAGTTAAAGTACTCTTTCCTAGAATTTCCCAACTTCCCAGTAGAAACCCCTCGCCTTTCAATTTCCAGAACCTGTCATTGTCATCAAAACTAGAACTAAATACAACACCAGAAATTAGTAAGCCCCTTTAACAATCAATCCAGATAGAACTGTTTCGAATAAAGCTACATCGCTACAAATTACAAATGCCAACCTGTCTTCTCAAGTCTCTTTTAAAGAAAACGTTCAAATGAAATCGAAGCCATGAATAACTTGAAGATGGAAATAAGGGTTATTCAATAGTTTCAAAACCCCGATTATGCCTTTCTGCTAAGTGGCTCTTCAAAACGCTGCTTTCGTTGAAGAAAAAAAAAATTAGAAACCTTCGCAGCCGAAGATCAAAATGTAACGATTACGGCAAATCAGTGCGACCACCGGTACGGATGAAAATTCCATCCGAACCAGAAGAAGCACCGCTGAGAAAGCAAATGAGATAGAAAGAAAAGGATGTTTCTGATCTTACCTGGAAAGAAAAACCAGAGGAATATCCCCAGTCGGATCTCAAAGGATGATCGATGAAGTTTCGGGGAAGAAAACATCACCGGAATCAGCCATTATCATCACGAAACCCGCACTGGCGACGAAGAAGTATCTTAACTGGAATATAGAAAATAAATAACAACAAAACCAATATTTATCGACGGTTCTAGATCCGACCTCCACCGTTACGGCAGTCGGACGGTTTGCCGGCGGGATTGACGGTTGGTTCTTCTTCTGCGTCGATGATAACAGTGCTATTGGCTACAATAGACGATTGAGCGGTGGGTCTACGACCCGATGATTCCTTTAAGTTTTCTTCGTACAAAAAACAAAAGACTAGTGTCGCATAGACAGAGCATGGGGCCAGAGAGCAGAAGCTGAGATGCGGAAGAACAGTTGGACACTTGAACCCCTCCGACTGGAACGAGAGTGGAAGAATCTAACTACTTGTAGGTCCCACCAGAAGGTCGGCCATTGTTTAAACCGTCTGATCCGTTAGATTATTTTTGAAACATCTTTCGCCGTTTGATTTCTAGACTATCTTTTGAAGATTAATATCAATTTACAACCGTCGATTCCTAATTTTCGCTCTTTTTGGTAAATTACAAAAACCCCCCCTTTGTACTATGTGTCAGTGACAAAGATCCTATATTTTTTTGTGAGAGACTCCTAAGCTTTAACCGTTAAATAAAAACCCATGTTATTTGTTATGGACACACCGTGCGCAGTCATAGGTATCAGCACGCACAGCGGGCCGCCCAGCAGCACGCATCGCCCGGCAACGTGCAGCGCGCACCGCCTGGCAGTACGCAGCACGCACTGCCCGGCAGCGCACAGCACGCACCGCCTGACAGCGCACAGCACGCACCGCCTGACAGCGCACAGCACGCACCGCCTGACAGCGCACAGCACGCACCGCCCGACGGCGCACACCACACCACATAGCAGCAGTAGAGGCAGCAGCGCGCACCGCATGCACCGCACGACAGCGGCACCATGAGCCGCGTGCACGCACCCGGCAGCAGTAGAGCGGGGCCCACACGACAGCTCATAGGGGTGGGCCCACCCTTATCTGGACACGTCAAGAGAACTCGCCGCCAGCCTACCTTATCCCTTATCCTCATCCCTTATCTTATTTTATCTTCTTAAGTAAGAGTTATGAGTTTTAGTTTGAATAGGAAATTAGGAGTTTTAGTTTGAGTTGGATTACCTTAGCCTAGCCGGATTTAACAAGGAATTCCTTTCTGTAATCTCCTATTTAAGGAACTACGAATTGAAGTAAATGATTCAGTTTTTGAGTCAATAAAAGAATTAGGAGAGTTTGGGTGGTCTCTTGGACAAATCACCCATTCAATTTTCGCAATAGGGTCTGCACACAAGGGAAGCAGGGCTTTCTCATCGTAGACCGACCCGTGACAAGATCCTCTGCGCGGGACCATAACATTATTATTCAGTTGAGTTGAAATTACAGGAATATAAGCTTTCTAAATATGAATATTATCAAGTTCTTTAATCCTCAAAAACATGGTTCACACGTTCATTCATCGTTGAGATCTAAAAGGCTGATTAACTGCTTCTCTGCTTTCCTCTTTACAATGACTACTTCATTAGTTTTTTACGATGCCAGGTTTTTCAACTATCAACTTGGGTGAGAGTCGGACTAAGTTTAGGACGAATGCAACTAGAAAGCTAAATGTAAAAAGGCCAAATCTGATCTGAGTAAATGCAAGCACAATCAATAAGCTCTGGGCAAGTTTTTGTGACAATAGACGGTGCTAAAGTTAGATCAGAGCTGCCTTTTTTCCGGTCATATTCATGGGAGGGATCAACCCATTGCTATGGGAACCCGTCATCGCAATCGGTGCATTCAATCTTCCTTCCTAGGACATTGATTTGTTTTCTAAGCCGGAGAAGGCCTAAGGATTTTTTTAAGAGAAAAGGGTAATGAAAAAAATATATATATAATTTTGATGAGTATTTTAGTAAATTAATATATTCCATTATTTGATTTAACGGTTAAGGGGGTCTTTGTCTAATGGCAAAGTTTAGGAGATTTTTGTAACAAACAAAAAATAAGAGGGTCTTTTGTCACTGACCCATAATACAAGGAGGGTCTTTATTTAGAAAATGGATAATTCAAATACTCGCTTTCCTGTTATGTGAAAACATATATAATCAAGTTTTTTTTGGTAAATAAGGATTTGAGAGAAGGAAGCAAGACGAACAGGCCAGGCTCGATTAGACCCTCTTAACAAATATATTAGTCAAGATTTTAACGTTACATTTTTATTGATAATATTTTTGTAATATTGTTTTGAGTGTAATTGGTAGAGCCTCGTAATGTCACTTTTATCAATTACACGCTACCGCGACTAACGTTGTCAACGGATTGGGTGCAACATGGGTCGGGTTCCCATGAAACTAATCAAACTATAGACCGATCCGAATTACACTAGATGATGAAGGGATAGTCCATCCTAATTTAGGCTATTTGGATCGGGTTGAGGGTCAACTTAGACCCAACTCTAAAATATAAACTTCGGGCTTCGGACTTGCCAAATTTGAGGCCAATCCAGAGTTTACCAATCTAAGCTCAACCTGACCTTAATCCAACATAAACTAAGCTCAATCCGACCTTAATCCAACATGACTCATGTTAGCATAGGAGTGGCAACGGAGAGGGCACCCCTACCTCGTCTCTGGTGGCAGGGTGAATTAAAGGCGAGGCACCCACTCTCCATTAGGATGGAATGGGCGAATTTTCTTTGCCCCGATGCCACCACCTAAAAGTATATATAATTTAGAGGTATTTTTAAAATATGATATTTGAAGTATTTATAATTTTGATTGGTAATGAAAATGAAATACATAATTTACAACTAACCAAAAATAAAAATTATTTTATTATTTGGAAAAGATTAATAATTTAAATTTTGGGTTAAACATATTAACCTTTAAATACATAATTTTTGCAAAAAACATTTAGGCATGTGTATAATATCATATATTTATCATATTAAACAAAAGGTAAGTGTCACATATTAGAATTATTTTTACACACAAAGATACAAAAAAGTTATAAAAAATCGAACACTTCTATAATTTTATATTTACACTATTATTAAAAATATGAATAAGACTATAAAACTTTCTTTTGACTAAAATACTCATTTTTTAATTTAGTCTCTATTTAATTATGAGGTTTAAATTGTAAATTGAACTACTACTTTTCACCCTACTTAAGTCTTACATTTTTTTATATATAAACAAAAAAATACACAAAAAAGGTTATATATTATAAAAAGAATAATCTAGCCAAGCAAGTAAGCCTATCAATGATACTTGAAACTTCAAAACTCGATCCGATTATCACATATTTGGATGAGGTATTTATGTAATTAGATTTGGATTTTCAATCCGCATCCAATTAATAATAAAAATAAAAAAATAAAAAATACATAAAGTTTATAGAAAATTTTGGATACATTACTATATTATTATTATCATTACCATCATGTAGAATTACTACACGCAAAGCACACGTGCATACTTACTAGTACTATTATAAAATGTATGAATGAGGGTGTGAAACTTTTATTGAGTACAATGTCCACATTTGTTATTTAATCCATCTATAATTATCAAGGTTAAAAACATAATTTCAATTAATGCTTTTCACCCCATTTAATCCTTTCTCATTAATTAACTATTGCATTTAAGGTATTAACTCCCGTTCTCTCTTATTAAATTCCGTGATTAAGTTATTTTTCACCAATAAATGCTACTAATTAGATTAATTTCCAATACTTTTAACAATATAAACCCATATATTTTAAAACTTAATAAAAAACAAAAACCACTCTTTATCCAAGTGATAATTAAGCAATTCAACCATACGAATCAAATTAGCTAATCCATGAAGTCATAGTTAGATAATAAAATTTTTAAATAGAAATAAATATAGAAAATTACAAAAAAGTAAAAAAAAAAAGACACATTTATGATTTTTTATTAATCAAATTAAAAAAAAAGAAGTGTAATAAACAATAATTCTTTTTATTGATGATGAAAATGAAATACACAATCTAAAACTAATCAAAAATTAAATTATTTTCCTGTTTAGAGGATACCCATAGTTAAACTTTTGGGTAAAATCTGTCAACTTTTAATGTCATAATTAAATAATAAAAATAAAATATAATATAAAACAAAGAAATAAAAAATACATAAAATTTACAAAAAACACTTGGGCATATGTATAATGTCATATATTTATCATATTAAACAAAAATATTATTTTTACACACATATAAATAAAATAAAAACATTATAGAAAAAATTGAACACATCTATAACTTCATATATACACTGCTATTAAAAATATGAATAAGATTATGAAACTTTCTTTTGATTAAAATACCCATTTTTTGAATTTATCATATTTAATTGTGAGGTTTAAAATATAGCTTGAACTACAGTTTTCACATCATTCAATTCCCGCTCTTTAAATATTACTTTTCTTATAAATGAACAAAAAATATATAATAAGAAAATAAAGCATTACAAACAAAAGAGTTTAGTCAAGTAGGTAAGCCTATCAATGATACTCAAAACTTTGTAGCCTAATATGAGGTGCTTACGTAATCAGATTCAAATTTTGCAATCTGCATCCAATTAATAGTGAAAAACAAAAATAAAAAATAAAAAATATATGAATTTTATAGAATATTTTGGATACATTATTCTTATTATTATCATCATCTAGAATTGCTACATGCAAAGCATGTGCACACTTGTTTTCATATATGTATAAATATTTGCATAAATGCATACATATATGTACAATTTTAATGTGGGTTCATTGATCAACCCAAGCCCAACCCGAGTGCATCAAATTACAGTGCAGGCTATGCTTGGGTTGGGAAGATCGGACTTGACCTCAGGCCCAGTTTGGGCTTGGGCCTTAAGCCCAAAATTTAGGGTCAACCCTGGGTTGACCATAAACCCGATCTTACCCGCCCGACTTGCACCCTAGGTCCTAAGGTTTTAAGAATCTGGAGGAAACTTGGGATGCATTTGGCATTTCTTATTTTAGCAAATTATCTTCTTTTTAGGGGCATTTTAAAAGCAAAAAGGAGATAAGTCCTTAAAATAAGGAATTCCAAGTGCAACCTTAGGGGTATTTTAGAAATTAATGTTAAACCTAGGAATATTTTACTAGTTTACCATCAGGTTCAAGGAATTATATGCAAATCTCGTCCCTTGCCTGCACCCGGTTCAAGGCAAAAACATTTTCCCCGTCCCTATTTACAATCAAGGAAAGCCCGATAGGTCGGGGGCCCTGTTTTATGGGAAAAATTGCCATCCCTAGGTTGGCCTCAAGTCGGGTTTGAGTTTT